TGACGACCCACCCACGTTCAAGAGGATCGACGTCAGGCCTCAGCTGCCAGAGACAGCTGTAAAACGGGCGATCCTCCTCCTCCACCGCAGTTCCAACGACCCCCATCAAAGTGGACGTTTTTGCACTGCGCTGGGGGCGCTTCCAGATTTTGTGGTGCACCCTATCTGGCTCTCCACAAACATGGCACTTTAGAGGGGCATCTACCCCCGAAGCTCTGAGCTTGCTGGCAATTACAACACAGTGTCAAAACAAACTGCGAGCCAACTGTGCTTCGCGGTACGTGAGGTGACGCTCGGCAGCCCTGAGAATGAGAGACATTTGGACGTGCCAAATGCTGTCCTTACTCGCCCTCTCAGCAAAAGGATTGTCTATATTTTCCAGGTTGTGGCGGACGGTGGCGTGAAGGGCCTTATCTTGTACGTATTGAACAAACACGTTGGCCACCCAACATGGCGGAACGATTATTCAATCATACAATTGCTTGGGAGGTGGGAGGTTGCTCTGAAGCTCCAGCCTCTTTTTTCCACCCACAGAAACATATCACTCAACGGACCCGTGGACTGCCCAAGCCACGATACGTTTTTTTCTCTCGCCTGAGGGAGGCTAAATCAGAGCTAAACTAATGAAACAACTCGTGCGCTCAGGGAATCTGTGTGTGATTGGAGGGGCACCGCGATCGATGAAGCAGTCCACCATTCCTGACAGTATCTCGCCAGAGTGCTTGCGCAATTCCTCTGCGGATCCTCGATTCCACTGAGGGACCCACCACAGCTCAATTGACGCTGCCCTGAGGGATCGACCAGAAGAAAGCATCGCTAAATTACGTAGCTTGGTGACCTCGTCGGGGGTAAAACCATCAACGCTGGCGGTTTAATCCACGGCCGATTTCACCTTCGTTTGGAAAAACCGAAACTGAACTTTTCGCTTGTGGCGGGAGAACGTTTTGTGCCATCTTGAGCGCCTTACCCAATTTGCTCATGGTTTCTTTTTGTGCTTGCCATGTGTAATATATATATATATATATATATATATATATATATATATATAATATATATATATATATATATATATATATATATATTCCAAGATTCGGCGCAGACAGTGGCAGCTCCCATATACTGGGGATCCAAGTGTGTCCGGGCTACCTCCAGAAGATGCTTTGAGCTCGCAGTGCACGTTATCTTCCGAATCGACAGCTTCAGACCCATAGCTTGCAGACCGTGGAGAAGTTGGACAGCAAGCCGACGCATGTGATCAACGCAATCTTCCACGCCATACGCCCAAGAGACAAGGCGCATATCATCTACGTGGACAGTGGTTGACGTTCCTGGGGCGCTCATTCCGTCACCTAGAGAAATTCAATGATGCTTTGCTTGAAATGTGGCTGGCGCTGATCCTGCCACAGTTTCTTAAACCTGCCACATCTGCTTGCTGCAAATCCCTTCCAGCATAAGACGTCTAGCCCAACGATCAGTGTGAACAGAAAGCACCATGACGTGCAACGGATAGCTAGTGCTTGCACATTGTTGTAGAAGCAAATCGTGCTGAGCATAATCGTAGAAACTTTTGATGTCCCAGAGGAGGGTCAGGAAGTTCATGCCAGCAGTGGCCGAGGCTTCGGCGCTCACCGCCTGTGTCCAAGCAGTGTCTTTTGGTCTTTTGGCTAACGCCCACAACCCATGGAAAAATGGGGCCCTGACCTCAGAATCCCAGGAACGAAGCTGGCGAGCCATGAGCTTTCCCTTCACGCGATAACGCCCAGGACAGAAGCCCGGAATACGGCGACCAGGTCCCTTGTGTTTCCTCGCGGACAGCATGATGATGTTCTGCACTGGTCTCGGCGCTTCCCCTCGGATGTCCATGAGAAGGAAGAGAGCCGCCATGGCGCTTCGGCGTTCTGGACTCGTTTTCGAGAAATTGCGAGGGTGCAGACCATCGAGTTGGCACGTGGCATGCTTGAACGAGCTGGACGCCTGACAACAGTGTGGGAGGCCGATTCTGCAGAGACGCTGGCACTGGATGAGGCATGTCAGCAGCATTCCAGATAGATTAATACGCGGCTGTCTGGCGAGAGAGGTGGCTGGTAAGGCAAGAAATGTATCCAGCACTGCCTACAGCTCGATCTTCTGAAACGCAACATCTGGGGACCGACTTAACGTCCTGATATGCAACGTCGGGGGTCAACCTCATGCTCACCTTTGCCTTTTAGATACAACTGCGTTTCCTTGCCTGTAGTTGAACTCATGGCATCGTCGCACCATGCCTTCCACGAAGCACGATCCTGGGACTGCTGTGATACCATCGCCTGTGTCTCGAAAAGCTGAGTGAACCCAAGAACACTGCGGCAGAGGTCGGCTGCATGATTCGGCGCGCCGAGAGTACGGATACACCGAGCAGCTGTTTTGGACATTAAGCCATCCCAAAATTCGTGGGCCTCCCTCCAAAACTTGACGAAAGGTCCCCTGGAGTTTCCGAGACGCCGGGTCTTCTGAAGCAAGTTGACCAGGTAGGAGGACTTGGTGAACGGATCTTTGGATAGCAAGGGTACGAGTTCCTGAAGACGCCGTCTTGCCCATGCGACTGCTCGATGGGGCTGCGGCTTCCTGTGGCTCTTTGTGCGAAGAACTTGGTAGAGGCTGAGAGTCTTCATGGGCATGCCTAATCCTGGAGCTGGCCCATACCCTGCAGACTGCGTTGTATTCAGAATTTCCTGGCGGACCATCATTGCTCTCGGCGAGAGTCGTTAACTGCAAGGGACCATACTTGGTTCTTCTCATCCGTGTAACTGGCTCTTACAGTAGAGAGCTCAGCTAAGGTAGAATCGTAGCGTGGAGGTGCGAGAGGGGGTCCCATTGCTGGTGTAGAGGGAGCTTTTGAAAGACCTCGGGAACCTGTACAATAATGCCTTTCACACACCCTTTCATGTACAAGTAGACTGGCCTGTGCACCCTGGTGGCCTCCTGCAATTTTGCTTCCATGCTGGACATGGCTAGGGACACAGGGACCGAAACCATGAACTAGTCGATAATACTTGAAGATCCAGCAGATGCATATGTGGGCACCTCCGAACCTCTCAGCACAAGATCCAACTTGTTCAAGGGAAAACCTGACTCCAAAATACTCGTGGGTATATTGCAGTGTGCTCCGAAGACCGCAGGTCGATTATGCTGAAACTCGTCGTTCCCAAAACTCTGCAAGATGCCTAAACTCTGAGCTCCAAGACCTGTGCTAGCCTTCAGATACCCAGAATAAAGCGCAACAACACCCAGCCCTGCTGTTCGGAGAAAGCACCGTACCAGCCAGGATGGCCGGCACATCAGGGGGCAGGAAGAGGTCGAGGTGGTCTCTCCCCAGAATCATCACACCTCCTGACGGGTCTTCAGGAGATCCCACAGCTGGCGTCCCATAGACTTTTCAGCCTTTACCGACGAGCTCATGCAATTTCCTCTTGAGCTTCTCTGGCAGCAACTTGTGTTCTGCAAAAATATGATACTTGAACGGGTACCGTCGATAAAGCTTTCTGCAGTTTTCCGGCCCGATGCATTCAAAGTGCAGAGGGTTATCTTCGCGCTTTTGACTCTTTTCGTGCCCTCGTTACCCTGGAGGTGATCGGGCGGGTGGTTCAGAAGCGCCTTCCGTCTCTGTAGATGCTGCGCCTCCTTCATTACCTTTCCCTGCTCCTCCTCCTCCATCCCTGTGCTTTTCCCTGTCTTTGTTCTCTCCCTTGGCGAGACCTTGAGCAGCGGACTTGCGGATGGTGGTTTTGATTGGTACAGTAGCAAGGGATTCCAGGAGCTTCCTCTTATCCTCTGACTCCAACTGTCCCAGTCCGTCGACGACATCTTGGACTGCTTCATGGCGTCCTCGTCTTCTTCGTCGTCGCGTTCTCTACCCTCTTCTTTCTCCTCTGCCTGCTGTCTCTCTGTCCCGCCCTCGATGCCGCCCTCTCCCAAGATGCCGGCCCTGTGGGTGGGGGTACCTTGGCCTGGAGGGCGGCCACAGACGGGAGGGTGAGCTTAGATTCCAGGACAAGAGTGGCATCCTGCATCGTTTTGATGAGAGTCGCTTTCTCGTCCTGGATCTCATTCTTTCTCTGCTCCTTTTTTTCGACATCCTCGGAGATCCTCCGATGTTGTTCATCCAACTGCTGAATTTTGAGGACATACTTATCATGAGCCGGCTCACGATAGACCACAAACTTCGAAAGGGGTGCTTCGGAGTCCTTGATTTTCTTACCCTTTTCCCATGCTGTGTTGACGAAGGTACGTACATCTGAGGGAAGCTCTGCGTATTTGTTGCCGTCTTGAACGACTTCGTACAACTGGTGCAACAAGTTATGGGCCTGACGAATAGGATCGGTGGCCGGGTTAGATGAGTCATGGCCCTTCCCTTTCTTCCCTGGCTTGGACTTGTCATCAGCATCACGAGAACGAGAAGGAGGACCCAAAGGTGCTTCGCAATGGTAGCACCATGTGTAGTAGCTCGGGTTCTTGCGGCATCCAAAACTAACTTGCATACTACGACATCGTCGATGCGCGCGCATGACGGCGAACCCATGGCACGACGCGACACACACACACCAGAAGGGTTGCTCCCTGAGGAGCTCACGAACACGGGGGTGAAGGTCCCCCACCTCAAGCCAAAACGGTGAAGCCCTTGCGCCAAAATGGCTATGGCCTCCTCTCCTCCCTCCCTCCTCCCTCCTCCTCCCCCTCCTCCTCCTCCTCCTCCTCCTCCTCCTCCTCCTCCTCCTCCTCCTCCTATCTGCTCGTCCTCCTCCCTCCTCCTCCCTCCTCGTCCTCCTCCTCCCTCCTCCCTCCTCCTCCTCCCTCCTCCTCCCTCCTCCACCCTCGTCCTCCTCTTCCCTTCTCCTCCCCTCCTCCTCCTCCTCCTCGTCCTCCTCCTCCCTCCTCCCTCGGGAGGCCTGATGAGGGGTCCCTCCGGGTGTCCGTGCGCGTCGTCCCGGCCCCCGCTCCCCGCCACGCGGCGGCGGCCCGAGGAGTTCCACGCGATGGAGCTGGACAGCATCCAGGCCCTCGAGCAGATGAAGGCCCCATCTCGTCCGGCTGCCCTCGCTGTGCCTCCGCCCCCCTCTCTCCCCCTCTTCCCATGCGTGCTACCTGTAGGCGCAAACGTACATGCGTTTACACATCCCAGTCCATTTTTACATATGTGTACATATGGATATGTATGTACACACATATATATATATATGTATACATATATACACATATATATAGATAGATAGATAGATAGATAGATGTATATGCGTATACGGGGCCGAGCGGTCATTCACTGTCTCTTGCGTGGCTTAAGTGGGATTTCGCGATGCGGATTCTTGTAGTGGTTGTTGTTGTTGTTGTTGTTGTTGTTGTTGTTGTTGTTGTTGTTGTTGTTGTTGTTGTTGAACATTATTACTTCTAAAGAATAATTATTGTTGGGACCCCTGGTGCACGACCCCCCCGCCGCGCCTAGGCCGCAGCCACATTTTCATCATTTTCGTGAGGAAGTCTCAGGCAAAACGGGTTGGTCCGGATCCGGTTGTTTTGTTACGGCCCGCTTTCCCTTGCAAAAAATAAGCTAAAGTGGACATTTCTTGTTCTAACATAACCAAACTTCAAGAATCCCTTGCAAAAAATAAGGTAAAGTGGACATTCGCGCGCGCAAGACGAAATCCTTCCAAAACCTTAGTTTTCGTAGCGATTTTAACATAAAAACATCAAAAAACCAATGGTTTTTCAAAAAAAAAATGTCAAAATTTCATCCCGCGCGCTCTTGCGGATTCGTAGGAAACCCAACACTTTTTAAACATTTCTGTCAAACGGGCTTTTGCGAGCAACTTTTTCGAACTTCTGCAACAACGGTTGCGCACCTGCCAGGGCCATCATCCCTGTCAAATAATACCATGCGGGACACATTCGTTTTTTCTTCGCGCGCGCACGCCGTCGTCGTCGGCCGCGGGGCCCTGAATAGTAGCCACGGTCGTCCGCATGCCACGAAGTGAAGTGTCCGAACGTCATAGGGCGGGAAGCTGGGTGTGGGTGGTGGCGAAGAGTCGTTTGGAAATTTGGTAGAGCTTGAACCGGCCCCCCCACAAAGTGGGGGTATTGCCCGCCTCCTATGAAAACCCTGGCACTGGTGAGAACGGAGTGTCCCCACGTGCTAGTAATTGTTGTTGAACATTATTACTTCTAAAGAATAATTATTGTTGGGGCCCCTGGTGCACGACCCCCCCGCCGCGCCTAGGCCGCAGCCTCATTTTCATCATTTTCGTGAGGAAGTCTCAGGCAAAACGGGGGAGTCCGGATCCGGTTGTGTTGTTACGATCGGTTTTCCCTTGCAAAAAATAAGCTAAAGTGGACATTTCTTGTTCTAACATAACCAAACTTCAAGAATCCCTTGCAAAAAATAAGGTAAAGTGGACATTCGCGCGCGCAAGACGAAATCCTTCCAAAACCTTAGTTTTCGTAGCGATTTTAACATAAAAACATCAAAAAACCAATGGTTTTTCAAAAACAAATTGTCAAAATTTCATCCCGCGCGCTCTTGCGGATTCGTAGGAAACCCAACACTTTTTAATCATTTCTGTCAAACGGGCTTTTGCGAGCAACTTTTTCGAACTTCTGCAACAACGGTTGCGCACCTGCCAGGGCCATCATCCCTGTCAAATAATACCATGCGGGACACATTCGTTTTTTCTTCGCGCGCGCACGCCGTCGTCGTCGGCCGCGGGGCCCTGAATAGTAGCCACGGTCGTCCGCATGCCACGAAGTGAAGTGTCCGAACGTCATAGGGCGGGAAGCTGGGTGTGGGTGGTGGCGAAGAGTCGTTTGGAAATTTGGTAGAGCTTGAACCGGCCCCCCCACAAAGTGGGGGTATTGCCCGCCTCCTATGAAAACCCTGGCACTGGTGAGAACGGAGTGTCCCCACGTGCTAGTAATTGTTGTTGTTGTTGTTGTTGAACATTATTAATTCTAAAGAATAATTATTGTTGGGCCCCCTGGTGCGCGCCCCCCCCGCCGCGCCTAGGCCGCAGCCACGTTTTCATCATTTTCGTGAGGAAGCCTCAGGTAATTCGAGGTGATCAAGATCCGGTTGTTTTGTTGTAATCCGCTTTCCCTTGCAAAAAACACTATAAAATGACATTTCTTGTTCTAATATAATCAAATTTCAAGAATCCCTTGCAAAAAATAAGGTAAAGTGGACATTCGCGCGCGCAAGACGAAATCCTTCCAAAAGCTTAGTGTTCGGAGCGATTTTAACATAAAAACATCAAAAAACCAATGGTTTTTCAACAAAAAAATGTCAAAATCTCATCCCGCGCGCTCTTGCGGATTCGTAGGAAAACCAACACTTTTTAAACATTTCTGTCAAACGGGCTTTTGCGAGCAACTTTTTCGAACTTCTGCGACAACGGTTGCGCACCTGCCAGGGCCATCATCCCTGTCAAATAATACCATGCGGGACACATTCGTTTTTTCTTCGCGCGCGCACGCCGAAATCTCCAAAAACCATTGGGCTTCTTAAGAATTTTAGCACCGCGCATCATA